ATATTCATAAATGTCAGGATCGTTACACGGAATAGTCAAAGTACTGTCGTCAGCAAAAAGAGTAATTGGACAATTCACTGATTTAGGTAGGTCATTTATATAAACGTTGAAAAACAATGGACCCAATGTACTTCTTTGAGGCACTCCATATTTAACTATGCGCGTTTCTGAGCAGTAATGTTCTTCCAAACTAGATTTAGGATTAATTTGTGAGATGACAGTATACTGTTTTCTATCGACTAAATAACTTTCAATTAGTTTCAATATATTTCCCCTAATGCCATACGCGTCAAGTTTTTTTAATAAAATGTCATGTTTTACGTGGTCAAAAGCCTGTGTCATGTCACAATATATTGCAGAAATAGGGTTTCTTTTGTCCATATTAGATATTACATTATTTAGATATTCAAATAAAGCTATGTTAATATTTTTATTTTGACGAAAACCATTTTGTTCTTTGCAAAAAATATTTTTTCGTTCCAAATACGTATAAATCTCTTTATACATATATTTTTCGTAAATTTTCGACATAACTGGATTAAGAGCAATCGGTCTATAGTTATTCATCAATAATCTGTTTCCTTTCTTGAACAATGGTTTAACTATAGATGTTTTGAGCTTGTCTGGATATATACCAGAAAGAATGCTCAAATTAATAATAAAACTTAAATGTCCACTTATCAGATCTCCAACTGACTTAACTATCTTAGTCGATATGCCATCATGTCCCTCGCTATTAGTGTTTTTCAAGTTCTTTATAATGAGTAAAATATCTTTTGGTACACTAGGTGCCATAAAAAAAGAATCTCTTTTATTTTCTAAGGTGGAGGTTCCATATGTACTAGAGACCGATGCTGGAGTTATTCTGTTAATGAAGTAATTATTAAAATTATTAGCTATTTGTTCTGGATTACAAATCATTTCGTCGTTGTCATTGATTTCTAAGATATGATCTTTAGGGATATTAAGCCTGGTGTTATTTATAATTGACCAAGTAGATTTAGATTTATTTTTAGAATTTTTTATAAGAAAATCGTTCTGTGCACGCTGCGTGAGTCGAATGATTTTTTTTATACAATTTGTTATATTTAATGAATATCTCTTTATTAGTTTTTGTCGGCTTAAGTCTGTAATTCCATAGTAGGCGTCTTTTTTTCTTACTACATATTCTAACACCCTTGGAGACCCATTTAGGTTTACTTGTAACAAATATGGTAATTAAATTAAATGGAAAGCAAAGATCATAAAACAACTTAAAATAATCCATGAAGGTAGAAAATGCAGCATTTGGATCATCTGTGTCGTATACTTCTGAGAACGATAACCTCATGAGGCAATCCCTAAATTTTGAAATATTTCCGATGCAAAAATCTCTATATTTCTTACGCCAAAATTTAATTACAGGTACATTTTTTACTGGACAGGTTAATAGTTGTGCGGTATGATCGGATAAAGCTAACTCTAGCACCTCCGTCCTGCAAGCCTTTGGGAAGTTATGAGCAAAATTATCAATACACGTTTTGCTTAACATTCTAGTCGGCTCTTTCAACGCCAATTTAAGATTATAATTCAAAAGTAGACATTGAAACTCTAATGTCATACTGTTTCTTTTTAAAACATCTATATTAAAATCACCCGCTTTTATGTGGTTATAATATTTACTTTATTTTTGAAATAAATATATTTTTGTTGCTCTTTGCCTTACTAATATTATAATAACAATCTCTAATATTTTTTAAGAAATCTTTTACTGTCAAAACTATGTTCTAAGCAAAATTTAGTAATTTCCCCTACAACGTATTTTTTAGAAATATTATTATTATTAAAATATATAGTATTTGATCCCCTATTAAAGTAGGATACTATATTTTATAGGAGGGTTGGCAACCCTACCTGCAGTCCGAGCGGTGCTGGTGAATTCAGAATCTGAATGACCTAAACATTCCGGTAAAGTGTCTTAGGGTGCGGCCAGAGTGCACTCAGATTCAGATTCTGAAAACAAGCGCGAGAAATAAACAGTGTAGTCTAAGCAGGTTGCCTGCTTTTTCTCGCGCTTTGTTTTCTGAGTCTGAATCTGAATCTGAATCAGGAGTGCACTCTGGCCGTGTAGTATAAGCAGGGTGGCCATAGTGGCAGCAGGCAACCTGCTTAAACCACACTGTTTATTTCTCGCGCTTGTTTTCTGAGTCTGAATCTGAATCTGAATCTGAGTGCACTCTGGCCGTACCTGAAGCAGGGTGGCTATATACCCAAACATTCCGGTAAAGTGTCTGACTCCGAAACCTGCGCGGGCAACCAGTTGCCTGCTGCCACTATGGCCAGTCTGCTTTAACTACACTGTTTATTTCTCGCGTTTGTTTTCTGAGTCTGAATCTGAATCTGCGTGCACTCTGGCCATAGGGTGCGGCCAGAGTGCACTCAGATTCAGATTCAGATTCAGATTTCGAAAACAAGCGCGAGAAATAAACAGTGTAGTCGAAGGGTACGGCCAGATTGCACTCCTGATTCAGATTCAGACTCAGAAAACAAAGCGCGAGAAAAAGCAGGCAACCTGCTTAGACTACACTGTTTATTTCTCGCGCTTGTTTTCAGAATCTGAATCTGACTCTGAATCTGAGTGCACTCTGGCCGCACCCGTACCCTCTGAATCTGAATCTGCGTGCATTGTCGCCGTACCCTAAGTACCGCTTGATGTGCAACTTTTTACCCTGACGGACCGGACGTGTCAATTTTGACATTTATTAGAAACATAGAAACATTGCAACCAATGTCAATATTGTCAATTTTACTAAATTCCACAAAAACATGTATTTTTTTTGATTTTCTATTCTTTCAGTAATTTTGAGTTCAATTTATTATTAAAACTATGAAATGAACTCTTAATAAAAGCGGAATGTCGATAGTTCGTGGATACAATGGATGAAAATAAAGTTTGGGAAGACTTATCTAACATTCCAGCAGATCCACCTGTGATGCGTCAAGTGTGCGTTAACTGCGAGTTAGTTTCTTTAGTTGCAAATATTGTGCCATATTTATGTAATTTCTCTTTCTGACCACAATCATTGTATTTTAGGAGACCGAGAGTTGTTTGCTGGTGTGCAGCATTACCTGCAAAACGACTTAATCCACAAAGCATAGTCATATTATTACAGCATCCTGCTGAGGAAAAAAGGTGTTTGAGAACGGCTCCTATGCTACAATTGGGCTTGGCAGAAAATAAGTGCCTTATTTTCAAAGGGAAAAAATTGTTTATTACTCGCGCTTGTTTTCTGAGTCTGAATCTGAATCTGAGCAAAAACAAGCGCGAGAAATACACAGTGTAGTTTAAGCAGGTTGCCTGCTGCCACTATGGCCACCCTGCTTTAACTACATTGTTTATTTTTCGCGCTTGTTTTCTGAGTACCCTATGGGTACGGCCAGACTGCACTCAGATTCTGATTCAGATTCAGACTCAGAAAACAAGCGCGAGAAATATACAGTGTAGTTGAAGCAGGTTGCCTGCGGCCACTATGGCCACCCTGCTTTAACTACACTGTTTATTTCTCGCGCTTGTTTTCTGAGTCAGAATCTGATTCAGAACCAGCGTGCACTGTGGCCGTACCCTAATGTTAGGTTATTTAGGAAAAGAAGTTTCACTTCAGTACCCCTAGCACGAACCAATATCGAATTCGTATCGTTTGCGAGTCCGAAATGTCTTTGTCAAATGTGTACTTATTTTTATTTCTCGCTACGTACTTTGTGCCGCTGCTGTTCAAGGGTGTATTCCGTAATATATACCAGTATACTGACCAGTGCTAGCGACGCAATGAATCGACGCTATACTAGTGAATTGTTCCGAAATATATTGGCCAGTGCACTGACGTCATAAAACGACGAAATATTAAAAATAGTGCGAATAAAGAATAATTTTTATTTACCTCATCAATTAAAAGGATTTCTTTTTCTTCCGATGCTATTATTATTCTATAATAAAAAAGAAATAAACTACGAATGCATCTCACGCACGCATCGGTTATACGTCATATTCGTTTTCCCTGTAAAAATATGGTAGTATACCAGTACAATATGGCGTCGGATACGTGACGTCATTACCACTGGCCAGTATACTGATGTATATTTCGGAATACACCCCAAGTTTCCATACAAAATTTGACATTGACATTTCGGTTTGAAAACTATTCGAATGAGTGCTATCGTTTTTTGTCTCACCAGATGGCGCCACTGTTGAGTGAGGTCCTGAACTGAAGTGTAACTTTTAAAGTTAGTAAACACGCTCGTGATATCAAAGTTTACATTTTAATACAAAAGAATCGTATCTTAAACATAATCGCCCATGCCACAGGTTTGCGCAGTCCCGTTTTGTTCGGAAAAAAGAAGGACAATATTTTTTCTTAGCTCCGCTTTTAAATAACTGACAATCATATGACTACACACGTAAGTCATATTTGCCATAATAAGTCTGATTTATTACCAAATATTCACAACTATTATTTTAATTAGAAAAAAACCGCGTAGTCAACCCGCAAGCTATAACATTTGACATTTCGGAGACCTCACGCAACACAAGCGCCTCTAGCGGCGGTTTCAGACGCGATAGCCCTCATTCGATAATGGTTCGTGCTAGGGGTACAGTACCCGTAGCACGAACCAAAATCGATTTCGTAGCGTTTGCGAGTCCGAAATGTCATTGTTAAATGTGTACTGATTTTTAGTTCTCGTTACGTACGTTGTGCTTGTGCCGCTGCTTTTCAAGTTTCATTGACATTTCGGTTTGCAAAATATTCGAATTCGTGGTTCGTGCTAGGGGTACAGTCATGGTACAGTTCTGCCTCGCCAGAAGTGTGCGTGCGTGAGAGTTGCTTAAGTAGTTGAGTCGGAGCATATTTTATTTGCCACGACACGTAAATATGTTTCTGCCTTTAAACTTTAATTGCGCCCTCTATTGAACATTAGCGTAACTATCGTACACAGGAAAACGACTTCATTCTTATCTTAGCTAAATAGGTGGCAGCACAGTGTGACTCGTTTGTTTTAGATTGTTTTTTTCATGGGTTGTATCATAAGCAAGTTAGAGGTCTGTTTATTTTATAGTTTACATAATATTTCATGAACATCTTTACTTAATATAATTTCCGCCAAAACTAAAGGAAATTGGGTTAGATTAAACGTTACTAATGAAAGCGGTGTAATGTAATGTAAGTGCGACGCCATTTTGCGCGGCGATTCGTAACAAACTATTTAGGAAAAGTACCCTGTAAAAGATCGTGCGTCTCGTTCATTTATTTACTGCTTTCACGGGAGGAAATGAATAAGCTGTAAAATTCACTGACTTTCTCTTTGAGGTATGCAATATGTGTATGACTGAGAATTTTTATACAAATGATTTGTAAACATGGAGGCCAAGTGTTATGCTAAATTAAAGTGACTTTATTTCTCGTCTGCGTGATGCTGTAGATGTCGATTCGGTTTGTATGTTAATTGTTCTTTCACTGGACTACTAACGCCTAATTTGATTATTAATACGGCTCGGGTGAATCAAGTAAACGTATACATTTATTTGGCGCCAATGTCTCGAAAGACCGTTAAGCCTTAGTATAAATCGAGCTCGTTTAATAGAAAACTATTGGTTTATATGCAAATTACTTTTATTTATAACTATTTTTACGTTTCTACAACTTTATTAACTTCGTACTTGTAGTGACATCAATTAATAGTCTCGGTTTGCCAGTGTCGTCGAATCTGTCATTGTAAATAGCAAGTCAAAGTTTTTAGCAGTATGAGCCTTCTTTTGCACTTTAATGTGATTTTATATGCATTTCCAGGTTCCGTATTGTTTGTACTATAACAAGCAACAAGACGTATTGCTATTGAAATGAAGACGTCGTTGTACTTGGGAATATCTTGACCAACCCTAAAGTGAGTACCTAACTTGCGATTATTTATTTTGTTTAAATGACAGTATCTATTACGCTGAATAATTATGTTTAGCGTTCATTCTATGTACCATAATTTATATTATAGGAATGCCTGTATCATGTGAGCCAATTATTGTAATATAAGCTAGTAGTACAATCTCCATGCATGTTTTGTATGTACACTATCTGAGTCTAGATTATAGCTACAGTTCCATTTTAGCTAGTCTACATGTCTTAAAGTCTAAACCAATACACACTATTATAATTATTACAATTTGATTCCAATTCATATCATTCATCCATACATTTCTGAGAGATTTTGTGTCATGAATAAAAAAATGATTCTTGTACTATATACCTGTTGTGTTTATTATTATTCTAGACTAATATACAGATAATTCATTTCAGCAATGGGCACAGAGTTGCCAAAAACTCAAGATTCCAGTGGCGATACAGATTCTAATAATGACACTGAGGTTAGTTATTATTATTTTTAAAGTGAAACTTTAATCTTTAGAATTTCACATTACTTTTAATTGTTATCGATAAGTTTAGACCATAACAATAAGTAGGGATGCAACAATAGCGATACAATATTATAATCACCAATATACAATTATGTATATTGGTGATTATCATATGTTTTTACAATCATTTGTTATCGTAAACATTACAATACAATATATACTACAATATATTTTCATTTTTACAGAAGTTACTAAAGTTTCAATGTCTGAATACATTTCCATCCCTTTTATTTGACATTGTCAGCTTTTATGAAGAAAATTGAACAAAATAAATTATACAATTTAAAAAAGATACTTATTTATAAAATAAAATAAATTTAAAATTAGGATTTGTTGTTTTTACTTCGTCTTAATATTGTAAACATAACAGACAAAGTTATAGAGACAAAGCTTCAAATAAATTCAATAAAATCCTCCTAATGCATTTGTACCATAATTCATTATCTTATTGGGCCATTACGAAGAATTTGATATTCTTATTGGTATAGTAATAGCCATATCATTGCATCCCTATTAATAATCATAAGTGGCTTTGTGGCATTTTGTACACAGTATGTTTTTTAATTATTTTAAAAGTTCACTTGCTTTGTGGTTTTTCTAAAACTACGTCATTTTTTTCCAGAACTTAATTAGATGTATTGTTGTATTTCAATGAAAATATCCATTTGAACTTTTTTAATTTAGTTTATTTATTTCTCCAGTGTTATTTGATTGAAACTACCACATTTTTCTATAAAAATAATTGATACAACCTATAAATATGTAATAATAGATGTTTGTTTTTTTTTATTGTGTCTATATATTTAAGAGAGTGTGTTAAAATGTGTAAGACTTTTGACTGTAACATTTAACTTATTGTTTACAGCAAAGCAGCTCTACCAATTCATCTGGAAGTGATTGGGAGTGCTCAGACACAAGACAGGGCTCTGCTCATAAACCACATTTTTCGGTTACATCATGTGATACTGGACTGAAACTCAAAATTGCTGCCATACCTAGAAAAGTTGCTCAGAAAAAGAATTCTAAGCCATTAGATAAAAAGAAGACTGCAGATAGCACACCTAAGACATCTAAGGCTGCTAAAGAGAAACCAGTGATAAAGAAAAAACAAAAGTCTCAGTTCACTTCAAGTTCTAGTTCATGTAGTAAATGCTCATCAGATTCGTCCAGTGATGATGACATACCATTAAAAGCCGTCTCAAAGGCATTACAACCAAAAGGATCACCATTGAAAACAACATCAAAAAGCTCAAAGAGCACAGACTGTAAGAGTGATAGTGATGAAGATAAAAAAGTTGATAGTAGCATAACAAAAGTCAATAAGGATAAGAATATCACAAAGCCTAATAATTCCATTGTGAAAAAGACTAAAAGTGATGAAGTAGGTAATGATGCAACTGTGAAGAGAGGAAGGGGAAGGCCGAGAACAAAGGTAAGTAACTTTCATCTTTTCTTGACTATGGCATATTAAAACACTGGATAGTGCTCCTACCATAATAAGAGAAAGTTGTGTCTAGTTCTGTGATGCTTACCTATTGAAAAATTATATGGGGACACAGTGAGAAGCTAGTTTGGGTTAGTGGGTACTAAACTGCAGCTGAAAATGGAACCCAATGATTCAAAGTCAAGATTTTGAGGTTATGTTTGCAAATAGGTACATAGGTATTAAAATAATAAAAAACAAATAAGTTATATAGTAAACTAGGGAAATCAGGCCAAGTACCGAAATTTTGTAATAGATTCATTCATAGAGCATGTAGATTAACAGATAGTTGCCTGATTTTAAAGTTAATGTACAAGAGTAACTTTTAAAATCAGGTATCATCTATGCATTTCCCATTATAATAAGAAAGGTACTCAGTGACAGAAACTATGTGATGATTGTGAATGAGCCACAGATTAGAGAGAATTTTTAAACTCTCGTTAACCAAAGAAAGCTAAGAGATTTAGGTTATACAGCCATATCTACAGTAGCTTCATTATTTTTGTTATGTTCACATTATAACCATATTTTAGAATTTATTAGTGTATCAGACCTTATAATGTGTTAATGGAGGTGTTTGGCAAAAAATGTATGGCAATAGACTTTATGATGTCGCCTAAAATCTATAATAATTGTCTTAGCACATTTGCATGTAGTGAAAATGATAATATACTTGTGGATATTAATACCACAGTGTAATAAAAAAAATGTTTTCATTTTATTGATCTTTACAAAATAGATTTGATTTTATGTTATTTCAACAACTTCGATCAGTTTTTGGCTGAATGTTACTACACCCATAGCCATTAAAAATGATTCGTATATTTTTCAAACCGGTAAAATTAAAAGTCCTTTTTAAAATGAATATGTTAAAATCTAATAACTAAAATAAAGTATAAAATTATTACGCCAAGAATTACCGTATATGTCAATATTTTTTTTGCATTTGGGCCAATTTGAGCAATCTCCTTTATGGCTACTTCTGCAGTCACTTAACAAATGGGCTCAAGTGACTTTGATGATTAGAAAATTTGAAATGTTAAATAATACAACAACTTTCCCTATAAATATTATATATCTAGTGACCTGAGGCGCAAGTGGTTAGCGGGTTCGGCTATTGTTGAAGATAAGCAACTTTCGCAGTGGTCGGACATTGGATGGGTAACCAAAAATGTAATACCTCTGTGCTTCAGAAGGCACGTTGGTCCCAGCTGCATCTGCAGTTGTTAGCACCCACCAATTCGCATTAAGCCAGCATGGTGGGTCATGGCCCAATCACCCTATTCCATCCATAGGGAAGGTCTGTGCCCCAGCAGTAGGGACACTAATAGGCTGATGATGATGATGATCTAGTGTCGTAATAGGTCAATCTTTATTGCAACATGCCTAGAAGGTGTTTTTCTAAGAAAAGCAATTTCTTAATTATGTTTATCCTATATGTCTGCTATGAGTGTTCTTTATTAAGTATTTCTGTAGATAAACAGTTTACAATTCACACATAAAATTTTATATAATTACAAGCAGATGCTCGCAATTTCATCTGTATGGAAAAAATGGTTTTCCATACAAACCCTCTTTCACCCATTTAAAAAATGATTTGTGTTCCTACATCCGTGGAGGCATCGTCCTACAGTAACGCCCTGGTCACGTGACCAAGTCGTAAATGTGAAACGGCGAGGCGCCTGTACTCTAAGCTAGAACAACTAGCGAGAAAGTTTCTTTGGGACAAGCTTGTTTGTTCTTTCGACCGGTAGGGGCGCTGCTCAGTTTCCATAGAAACCTTGACGATGGCGATATGAATACAGCCGCCCAAGCAAGAATTTTGACAGCTCCGTAATCGTATTACATCGTTAAAATGTTAGATGGAAACTTAGCAGCGGCCCTACAGGACGTAAGAACAAACTGGCTCCTTCGATACAAATTTAACAATACGAAGTGATGTCAAATGTGTACTGATTCTTAGTTTTCATTACGTTCGTTGTGGCGCTGCTGTTCAAGTTTCCATACATAATTTTACAATGACATTTCGGACTAGAAAACTTTTCGAATTCGATATTGGTTCGTGCTAAGGGTACAGTACCCATCACACGTATTCTGCTCTTATTAGCGGGTGGCATCGTACCGAGCATCCGCTCAACACGGTACGGCACTGTATAGGTATAAATGCACGAAAATTTTACGTTAACTAAGCCGCGCTGTGGTCGTGTGGCACGTCCCCAAGGTCATTTCTCAATTGTGTGGATTGTAAAACTGTGGTAGATCTATTGATTATTTGAGATGGAGATAGAAATACCCTGCTAAAATATTGTATTTTCTTTTAACCATTAGCACAATATATTATATTTTAGTCAGAGAAATACAAATCATAAAATATAGTCACTTTTTTCATAATTTCTGCATACCAGATAAGTCTCCCTAAACTTCGCGCCAGCTATTTTAATTGGGGGTATCTTTCGCCCGAGGTCTCGCTAAAATCTATCGCCGCGGGTATCTCAATACACGATCGTCCGAGGCCTTGCAGTGATCTGTCGCCCGAGGTTTCGCAAAGATCTATCGGCGAGGCCTCTCAAAGCACGATCTCCCGACGCTGTGCAAAGATCTATCATCCGAGGTCTTGCAACGATCTATTGCCAGGAGCTTCGCTAAAATATATCGCCGTGGGCATCTCAATGCACGATCGTCCGAGACCTAGCAAAGATCTATAGGCCGAGGTCTAGCAAAGATCTTTCGCCCAAGGTCCCGCAAAGATCTACGCCCGAGGCCTCCCAAAGATCTATCGCCCGAGGCCTCGCAAAGATTTATCGCACAAGGCCTCTCAAAACTCTATCGTCCGAGGTCTTTTTTTGTTATATTTATTTTGGCTTTGTCAGAATATGCAATAATAATATTTCATTATGATTTTCAACCATTATGCAATTGCAAGTTTGATGTCAACTTTCAATTAGACGACACTGTATGAAATAAAACAGGGAGGAAAAACAGCCCTTACTGAGTTTCTTGCCAGTTCTTCTCAGTACAAGGTCTCCCGTCGTAGTTTTACGAACCGGTGGTATAATTTTCGACTTTCATATGTGCTTGCAAAAGCCTAAACTGTATGTATGATTTTAAAAATTGAAATTTTGAAAGTGAAGCAACATTGGTGCTTAATTCAAGTGTAAATAAGTGAAATCGTAACATTAAAACTTAACAGTTAGACGTAACTATTACTTATCATTATTTTTGTTGATAATGCTGCCAAATCTGGTATGATTTTCTAAACCTAAAATGAAATATGACAGCAGTGTATCCTTGTTATTCACTATACAGAATGAAAAGGAGAGACTGATGTTAACCATGCCAGAATCTGCAACATTGCCACACTTAAAGATGTGAAAGGACCACATCAATAAATAACGTCTATCATAAAGGTTATAAGATCGACAGGAGGACACACAAAGCATAAAACATGTGACTGATGAATTGCATCCTCTGCATAGGGGGCTGTCGGTGATACCTAAGTTAAAAAGATATCTGTTATAATGGGCATGTCCGGTAATAGCATTTGTTACGGCAGTGTAGGTCTATTTAGCTATAGATTAAGTCTTGAAGAGGGCAGCGTTCATCCGTGGCAAAGCGAGGTCTGCTTGCACGTCTCCAGAGTGAGCCAGTGTTGCCGATGTATTGCGGCTGTGCGCTGTACGGGACCTGTTGGGGTCGTATCGGATCCCTTCCCGGCAAGTTCATCCGCAGCGTCATTTCCGCGTAATCCACTGTGTCCCTAGATCTGTTCGATCGATCGAATCGAATTCTATGACCCTACCGTGTTAAGGTTTAAAGAATTTTATTTCTCATACGAACTTACACAGACAGTTCACTTAAAATGAGATACATAACTAAAACTAATCACTTAATTGAAATGACGCAGCGCAGCTGCTTTATAAAACTATAATTTAGTATAATAGGTAGGCAAACTATTGTTATTAATACAAGCACAATACAAAAATGCAATCTGGTATGTTTACGAGCGAATGACAAAATTATTATTTTGCTACCATCCCTTCATAAAGAAAAACATGCAATTCGTACCGGCGGAGTACCGATAAGTAACCAAGACGGTAGATATTGTTTCATCAGTCACTCGATGCATAGCATTATGAAAGATGCGGAGTCGCTAATGCAACTCATTGCGTTATAAATTACATTTATATATTTAATTTTTGAATTTTCCCTTACCATGTCCTGATAAAAACAAACACAACAAAAGAAGAAAAAAAAAAACTTTTCCCTGCAGTATATTAGAAAATTGGGGCAACATAGTAGGTACATTTTAGCGATTCCTTTTTTTTTATTTATACAGACAGATCCAGTCCCAACCACAATCCGCTTCCCGTTTACACGTAAATTATGAAGAAAAATCGTAAATATATATACACAAAAAACCGACCAAAACGAACAATAAACCGATCCATATATACAATAAATTTAAGTTTACAGCTCACTTAGTATTAGTATTTTAAGCATTTCTTTATATTTTTTTACGTTTTCGGAATTTTAATCTCTTCAGGTAATTTATTGAAAAAGTTGACTCCTTCAATAGTTATGTTCCTTCTACCATAATTAACTGTCCTTGGCAAAGGCAGCCATAGTTTGTTCTTATTTCTTAAATTATGTTTAAATTGCCTTTGTGAAATATTTATATTAGTGTATATTGTTTTTGTTATAATTTTTTTTATTAATATACATACGTTGTACTTGAAGAGTTGTTCGATATTAAATAATTTAGTTTTTTTATATAGAAATTTTGTGTTTGTACGGAAATTCATGTGAAACAAAACTTTTATAATTTTATTTAGTAATATTTGTAAATCTTTCAATGTGGTCTTTGAAGCCGATCCCCAGATCTCGATCAAATATTGTAGATTTGATCTTATTAATGCATTATATAAGACAACACGAGCCTTTTGTGGTAT